GAGTATGGTAAATTATTTACAATTATTAAAAAAAAATAAAAGCAATTGTATGCTTCTTACTCTCCCTTAAGATGGACAGTGAACATCTAACATTGTCATCTTAGATGGCAGAGCCTTTGTAAACAAATCTGACAGTTGGTTTTGAGACTTGATGAACATCAATCTAATTTGGCTAGAACTAACTTGATCTCTCGTGAAGTGACAATCAATCTCTATGTGTTTCTTTCTCGTATGAAATGTTGGATTAGAGGCAATATGCATTCCTACTTGGTTATCACAAAAAGCAAGGAAAGAGCATCTCTATGCATGCCAAGACCGGTGAATAATTGTGAAATCCAACATAATTCAGCAGTTGTGGGCAGTTATTACCTTGTATTCTATTTCAGCTGAACTTACAAAGACAATTGTTTGTTTTTTAGCTTTCCAAGATATTAAAGAATATCTAAGAAAGATACAAAATTCAGTCAAAGATTTTCTGGAATCTGGAAAGCCTTCAATTGAAACGAAGAACAAGAAGGGAATAAAAGACTTTGACCAGGATGTGCCTTGGGATATTGTTTACCTCTAGTTTTGTTATTAAATATAAGGAGACATATGAAGGCTTTTTTACCTTTATAATCTTTAATTAATAATTAATTACCAATTTGACCTTCTTTTGAAACTAATTCGAAAATTTAACCCCTTCAGAAAACATAACACCCAATCTGCCCCTGTTTGACCGTTGACCATGAAGCCTACCCGGGTACACCCCTCCCTACCCTGGTATTTTTTGAAATTTTTTGTCTACCCGGGTAGAGAGGGGTGTACCGGGTAGAGTTCTTAATCTGAAAAAATGGTTGAATTAGTTACCCGGGTAAGAAGGGTTGTACCCGGGTAAACATCCAGAGTAGCGTTTTTATATAACCGAGATGCTAAAAAGTTTCTTTTTCCAATTCATATTCTCCTCGGATTTATATTTCTATCAGGTTAATGAAAACGCAAAAAATTGAAGCACCTTCTGATTACAGAAAACAAAATGAAATTAGTAAAAAATTAATACAACATTACCATGTAATTGTATCCCCTAGTTTCTCTAATCTTCCTCAACATCATTTGGATTCAGCTTCCAGTAGAGTCCCAATTCTGCAAAACTCACCATTTTTCTGCAACGTCACAGCTAAGTAAAACTATAGATAGATAGAGAGAGAGTAATGACCTGCTAATTGGTTGATGGAAACAAATTCATTAGGGCTGCCATGGCGAGGAAGCCTTGGATCTTCGTTGCTATCGTCCATGAACCATGTCTGTCACAGTTTTTTTCATTTATATAAAAACGCTACTCTGGATGTTTACCCGGGTACAACCCTTCTTACCCGGGTAACTAATTCAACCATTTTTCCAGATTCAAGAACTCTACCCGGGTACACCCCTCTCTACCCGGGTAGATAAAAAATTTCAAAAAATACCAGGGTAGAGAGGGGTGTACCCGGGTAGGCTTCATGGTCAACGGTCAAACAAGGGCAGATTGGTGTTATATTTTCTGAAGGGGTTAAATTTTCGAATTAGTTTCAAATGAAGGTCAAATTGGTAATTAATTATTAATTAAAGGTTATAAGGGTAAAAAAACCGACATATGAACCTTCATATTTTATGTTTTATGCTTTGATATGTTTCGTTTCATGATAAGACATGATTGTTAGTCATGATAGATTAATACCTTTTGGTATTTTTAATTAGTTTAAGAACATGTTTGACACTCGATGGAGGGATGTGGTGTCAAATTTATTGGTTTATATTGATGCATGATTACTGAATTATTAGTGAAATGTGTTTCGAAACAGAAGAATCTTTTGGAAATAGAGCACTAAAACACCCAAGAATGCGTGCTATAGCCCACTCATCTTCGGACAAAGGGTGTTAAAGCGCATTGCTCAGCGCGCTAAAGTGCTCCTTTATGGCACGAATCTCAACACTACAGCGCTAGCACATTTCCAATATTGTAATCCTTTTTACTTATGAATCCATCATTAAACCATCTAGAAGACTCAAGGAAGCAAGGTAATGATCTCTAGATCAATTTAACCACAATTCCTCGTGTTATAAGTAGATTAACTATCATAACTCTCGTTAACGTTCATTTACATTGATGCTGCACTTGAGTAACAATATAAATAAACGCATTGTATACACATGGGGTGTTACCAGTCTCTATATTACAAGAATCAGATTTTTCAGAAGAAGATAAAAACAAACTAACCAATGTAAAGGAAAAGTTAACCAAAGTTACTTAAACCAATAGAGAATATAATTAAGGAGTATGGTAAACTAACTATAGTTATTAACTAAAAAATGAAAGCAACCACGTGCTTATTACCTTAATATATTATGAGTAAAGAAAATATCAATTCACATAATAATTAAAAGCATTTTAATTAGGGAAAAATTCACTAATACCATGTGATTTACTTCAGAATCATCTATACTCCTGTGATTTTTTGTGTGTCACATATACCGCTGTGCTTTGTAAAATATAAAAAACCACAGGGACATATGTGATAAAAAAATATACCCTTTTGCAAATTACAGGGACATATATGATAAAAAAAAATCATAAGGGCATAAATGATTCTAGAAAAAACTACAAGAGCATTGGTGAAGTAAAAAATTTAAAAAATAGTTATTTTTAAACTCAACATGACTAAAGTACTAATCCCCGTACTAAAGATGCAAATGCATATACTGAATTGTTGTTTGATATATTAGGCCTGCAATTAAATTAATAATTACATTGGGGAAAGTGACCGAAGAACCAATAAACTTTGAATCAGTTTAGTAATTTGCAAGTGGATTTATAATGTTCGTTATACTCCCACTTTGATGGCGAGTTGCACCCATTAGATTTTTCAAACCATACAAATTGACAAAGTTTTCTTAAATAAATTACTGTTGTATAGTGGGGTAGGGGTCTTCGCGGTCTGGATTGGATCGGTTTTGGAAGCAAAAATCATCTGATCCAATCTCTTCGGTTTGATCATGTCATCATCCATTCGGGTTGAATTTTTTTTCAAATTCGATCCGATCCAATCCAATTTTTTCGGTTTGGATTGGATCGGTTTTCAATTTTTTGAAAATCTTAAAATTTGTTTTATGGTTATTATGCAAATAACATTTTTTGTATAATAGGCTTTGTAAAAAAAAAAAAATTAAACAGAAAAGTAAATGATAATATAGGTTTTTTTTTTGGCAATAAGATATGAAGCTTTACACAAATAAATTTTTGTTGATGAGATGTGACTAGATTTTTTCTTGGGTTTAGTTTATGGGTTAATAGGTCTTGGGTTTAAAAAATTTTGGGCTATGAAGGGAGGAAAGACACAAATAGGTAGAGGGGAATTAATATATTGGATCGGTTTGGATTGGATCGATTTTCATCAACCCATCCGAAAACCGATCCAATCCAATTAAAATTTGCGATTTTTATTCGGTTCTCGATTTTTCGATTTTCGATTTATTCGGTTATCGATTTTTTGGTTCGGTTACCGCGGTTTGAATCGGTTGATAAACACCGCTATAGTGGGAAGTGTTGGGCTTATGGGTTAAGATAAACATGTGAATTTTTAATATTTTTTTTGGTAAATAAATATTTAATGTATTCATTGTTGAAGTTTTACAAGTCGTTTAAGCGAGTATTGAATAAGTATTATTCAATAGTACAAACAAATTAAATTACTGATAAAAGTTATTATTATTTTTTGGTAAGAAGATAAAAGTTATTTTCAGTTTAAATTTATGTATACTAAGAAGTCCCACCTCAAATAGTGCAAACAAATCCATAAACTTTTGCAGAGAAGATGGGAAATCAAATTCTCCCATGCTCTGAAAAGCACTTTTAAAAAAATTTGCATGTCAAATAAGTGGTATATATTTTAGTACATGTGGTCAATATTCCAACACATTTCAACACACATTTTTAACATGTTGGTCAATTTTTTCCTACATGCATCTGACATGTTTTTATTATTATTATTTTGTTTAGGTCTAAATTTTATTTTATTAATTAAACATGAAAAAATAATTTATAAATCAATTTTTTTGTTATAAAATTTGACATGAAAAATTATTTTTACTTTAGATTTATGTTATGAAATTTGAATATTTAATTGATTATATGATTTATTATAAGCTGTTATATGTATTAAATATAAATTATATTATATATGTTAAAAATATTATTTAATTTCATATGTTTTAACGTGTTGAAAATATGATATATTTTAGAATTAATATGTGAATGTGTCCTGTCATATCCCGTATCAATATCGATGCAACATAACCGATACTTATAGAAAAAAAACGTTGTGGCTGATTGTCTGGCTGGAAATGCTCATCTGCTTAACTGCATAGTTGGGAAATAGTTATTGCTGGCAAAATTCCTGAAGGGTGCACTGATAGATTCTTCAGTGATTTTAGGGGCATTTCTTGGCCCAAAATTGTAATGTGTAGCTATTTTGTCTTTTTTTTCTTTGTGTATAAAAAGAAAAAGAAAAAGAAAAAGAGAGAAGTCCCACCTCAAACAGTAACTAAACCCTTAACTATATAAATTTTATAAAATAAGCTGTTGCTTTGCTGTTTTCAATCGTTAAATTATAATGTAGAAGTGGGGACCAAAAAACATGCCACTTTGCCCCAACCTGTATTTGAAGGCACGCAAATGACTAGTCAAAACGTCAGCTGATTTCACTTTTGGAATTTGACGCACGCACTTACCGTATGATATATTATAAAAAGAATATATCTTCACTGCTCCAAGATTCCATATATATATATTTTTATTAAATATGGATAAAAAAAATAATATAGTAAACTTTTCCTTTTTTTTACTTGCTATTCTATGATTATTGTCACCAAAATCTCAGGATTTTTTATTTTATTTTTTTTAATAAGGGAATACATACTCATATAATTATAAATAGTCCCTCCACTTGCAGTTAACATAGAGATAACATTTCTTCATAGCTCCATAAACAACGATGGAGGGAACAAACCAAAAGATTTTCAGCTTCATCAATGATACAAATGAGCAGCAAAATCCCAGAACCCATAACCAATCCCCTTATCTTTCTTTAGCCAAACTTGCACAGAATTACCCTCCTGGCTTTCCCAGAAAGGTAATTAAGAGAACCTCTCTAATCTCCGCATTTCATATATATATATATGCTCGTCAACTCACAAGGCAGCATATATTATATTAATTTCTCTTTATCATGACCCGTGGCAGAGCAACATTAAGTGTTCTTTAGCTAGGACCTTGATCCTAGCTAAAATTTGAAAATTAGCTATATTTTTAACATGGTTAATTAACCATTCATATTTTAATATTTAGCACAAGTTAAATTTTTTTTAGTCCTAGCTGACCTTGGAGGCTGGCTTCGCCACTAATCATGGTATGGTTTAGTTTTCAGAGAAAAATGAAGGGATATATGCATTCTGCGTCTGTTTTCTCTGCTGGACAAAACGCATTTTCTTTGAAGCAGTTTTGTGCTTTGAAACAAATATATGTGTAGGCTGCATGAGTTTATTTTGATTCTTATATATATATATATATATATAAAGCATCTGTATAATCAATCATTGTTCCTGTTGTTACAATATAACAGGTATTTGCTGAGACTATAGGCACCTATCTATTGGTGTTTGTGTCAAGTGGCTCTGCTGCTCTTAATGCTATTGATGAAAACAGAGTCTCAAAACTTGCAGCTTCACTTGCAGGAGGATTCATTGTAACGGTGATGATTTATGCGATTGGACACATCTCTGGGGCACACATGAATCCTGCTGTCTCCATAGCTTTTGCCACCGTGAGGCATTTTCCTTGGATACAGGTTAGTCTGTTTGTTTAGTGAATGTTTTTACAATATTTTGCATAATTTTCTTGTGCACTTTCACACGACTTCTTGTTGAATCGATTAGTGAAATTTAATATAAAAAATTATTGAGGGGTTTTCGCTCAAGGGAAAAGTTCGTTTACGATTTTTTTTATAAATTTTTACAAATTACACTATGTTTTTTCGGGAGAACACAGTGTAACCTAGTGTTCTTTTCAAAGAATATAGTGTAATTTGTAAACAAAAAGTTTGAAAATATAAACTTTCCCTTTCACTTAACCTTTAAATTTTTGAGTTAAAATAGTTTTTTATATTAAGTTAAAATGATTTTTTACCTTACATCAAAGTTAAATGACTTGGTGATGCATTATTTATTATTGATGGACCTTTGCGTTAACAATTTTTGAGTTGAAATAATTCTTTATATAACCTCTAACTTCGTGACGGAATTTTTCTCTTTTTAGCATCACGAGGGAGATGGTTAAATACTTAAATTCACATACACAAAATAAGAAAATAATCTTATGCTATTCCATTTAACATGTATAATGTGTTATTATTGTCTCCAACTTTAACCATTATATTTAATTTCAGGTTAATATTTCACGAGATCCTTAAATACAGTGTATCATATTAAAAAGTTATATTGACCCAAGTGAATGAACGCCCCTCACTACACCTCTTTTTTTTAAAAAAAATCTCCACGACACCAATCTTGAGATTAATCATAAACTAATATATCATTAACACTTTATTCGATTGTAATGATTGAAATTAAAGACAACAATAACCCATACATAGTGTAAGGTTTCTCGGGCTGATTGATCATTTTGTCCTTGTTTTAATTTTTTTTACAATTTTGCCCCCTTCTTAAGCTATATCTAAGTGTGTCATTTTTCTTAAATTATATATCAATTTATCCCTATTTAATCAATGTTTGACCAACACTTACTCAAATAAACAGACAAATAAATCATATAATGTTGGTTAAATATTCGGCTGAATAGGGACAAATTGATATATAATTTAAGAAGATGTGCATATTAATATATAGTTTGGAAAATGATTAAAATTATAAATTAATTTTAAGAGAGAGATAAAATGATGAATCAACCAATTCTTAGGTGGTGTAATATAACAGTATTAATTGTCTTTGGCTTGATATATAAGAAAACGCGAGTACTGCACAAATAAATTATTGAGAAAGTCATCTTAATTAAGCTCTTATATAAGTTATTGAGTCACCCCACGAAAACAGTTTTTAACTGATTCAAATGAATTTGTTTATAACTCTATAAACATATTTAAAAAAAAAAAAGTTTTTGCCATTTTAAAATATGTAACATTATGTCATTTTAAGTGAAACGATTGTGTTTTAATGTATATTTGATAGTTTTTTATATTCTCTCTTCTTTTCAAAATTAATTAGGAGGAAAGAGAAAAAAAAAAAAAAAGAGTTTTATGAAGGAAAAATAAGGTGAAAAATCATTAGAATACGATTGTTTAACTTCAAATCATACAAAAACATGTCCTTTAAAATAAAAAATATTTTTTTTCCTAAAAGAAAGTAACATTTCTCATATAAAAAAAACAAAACTTGAAACAAGCAAGAGTTAATTTGTATTGGTTCAAGTCCACGTCAAAATGGTTCAGCCAAGGAAAATACATGTACAAGTCAAGTTCATGTCTCCCCAAGGACCCACAATAATGCATTTGCATCCAGAAACTATCTGAACAATTCATTAAAGAAGTGGCCTACAAATCCTCTACCATTATCTCTGCATGTGATGAGGATTTGATCCACATTCCCTTGGTGGCACGAAAATAATGCCTGCTAAATTCATCCATAAATATGAGTGTAATTTTCATAAAAATTGTACAAAGTTACTATACTTGTATTTTAGGTTAGATAAGAAATATAATGTTATATATGTTCTGTGCTATTTTATTTAATTGTATCCATTTTATAGCAATACCATCTTTATTTCAAGTTAATTGATTCGACAGCGAATGAATTCAAATAAAAAATAAAATAAAAATAAATACAGATTGAAGAAAAAAAAATCAATAAGAAAGAAAAACTAAGAAAATAATAATAAAAATCTATCCTTTTACAACGTTACTAATTTTATTCTCCTCTGTCTTAAAACAAATAGTTCACCAATCTATTTCACATTTTATTAAGCATATATAGTTTTACTGATTTCTTCATAATAAATTTCACCCCATCTCTTCCTTTATCCATGTCATTTTCTTACGGAATATTTAAAGGGATTCTTCTTAAGTGGATCCAAAATATATTATGTTCTAATCACATGTCATGTTTTATTTTTCACAAAAATATTTCTGCATTTACTGCAGATAAATTATCCGTATTTATTTTCAAAACGATGTTATTTTGGAATTAAATTAAAAAATTATAATTATAAAGACTATAATAACTCTGAATAAATTAAAATCACAAAAACACGATAATTTTTGTCTCAAAATGACATTGTATTAAACTTATTGCAGATAATTTATCTGCAATAACTCTTTGAAAAAAAAAAACCCTTTATTTTTAGAGTATCCTGAACGTACTACACAACTTATTCTGTTATGTTCCATTTCATTCTATCATATATACAATATATGTACTAACCACTATTTTTATTAAAGTTTTCATTTTAAAATCAAACATATTATTGTCATTAAATTGTGAATAAATGTAAAAATGACATTACAATAAATTGCAACAATATCCTGACCAAAAGAGAAAAAACTATTGCCACAAATGTTATGATCATGGGAAAGCGAAAACATGTACGTACCATGTAATGATTATAATACCCATCTAATCTAACCCCAACATGTGGATCCGCATACTCCCATATTAAAGACAGCTACTCTCCATTATATTTGCATTATTAACGTCATTTTATATTTTTTTGGTTACAATAGTACGTAGATTTTTTTGGACCGGTGTTGCAACAATATTCTGACTCAAAAGAGAACAAACTATTGCCACAAATTTTATGATCATGGGAAAGTTAAAGCAACAAGCAATGAGTGGAACATGTACCACCATATAATAAATAAATATAACACCCGTCTAACGCCACAGCATGTGGATCCGCATAAATTAATACGACAGCTACTCTCCCTTATGTTTTGCATTATTGTCATTTATATTATTTTTTTTGGGTTACAATAGTATGTAGTCCCGTGTTAGAAGGAAAATAATAATTTTTTTTTTTAGATATGAACCGATGTTTAAAGTCCTAATAAACCCAACTTAATTTATAATCTTACAATAAAAATTAATTTTTTTTATAACTATTAAAATTTTCCACCGGATTGATCTACTTGGAGTCACACAGGACTCCACGTAAAGGTGCTAAACGAATCAAGAATTTTTGCCTCGACTCGTGAAGGCTTGACTTACATATCTAAAATTAGTTGTTGTAATCAAACTTAGATTTGTATAAAAATTCGTTTAATAAAAAAGCTTCAGGTTTTAATTCAAGAGCATAACATTAGAGTCTCTCAGACTGATCTAGTATACTAACTTTTATTTTTGTTTTATATTTGTTATACTACTCATAATAGTTATCTCTCTCCTCAACCCATTTCATCAGATTTTATTGGTTAAATAGACTTTTTGAATGATTTTGTTCTATATTTTGTTATTTGGATATACATTAAATTTATGAATCTTTGTAGAATTATTAGTGTTGTTGATCATATATTCTGTTTGGATAATTTTTTATTGTCTTATTTGTTTTAACAGGCTAAAAGAGTAATCCAGACTTTTAATTTTTGTAAATAAGTCAAGCAACATGTCGATAATTATATTCATAACAAATAACATGTTAAACCAGACTGACACACTTAAACACATATTTAACTTTTTAAGACCAAAGTCAAGCTCGGACATTAACACCCCTCACTCCATGTTTATATATATTTTAAGAAGTATCAAAATGGAGGCCAGAACAACTTATACCATGATTCGAAAGAATAGGGCAAGTATGATGTAGTTTTACACCCATTATACTGAGGATCGTAATTAGCCCACAATTATGTTGCAGGTCCCATTTTACATTGCAGCTCAACTCACAGGAGCTATTTCTGCTTCATATACGCTGCGAGCACTGCTAGATCCAGCAAAGCAGCTTGGGGAAACGACGCCTTCTGGATCAGACATTCAAGCACTTATCATGGAAATGGTTTCCACCTTCACCATGGTGTTCCTCGCCACCGCCGTGTCCACTGACACAAAAGCTGTAAAATTATACCAACAATGCTAAAAATTTGTGTTTTCTTTCCCCAAAACAGTACATAATTACACTCATTACCTTAAAATGTTGTCATTTGGCAGATAGGAGAGTTGGCAGGAGTAGCAGTAGGTTCTTCTGTTAGCATAGCAAGCATTGTCGCCGGGTAAGAACATCAACAAAATTCCTTTTTTTTTTTTTTTTCATTGATGAAGCTACATGACCACACACAAAAATGTTAGGAAAGGGAGTCTCAAAATCTATTATAGGCAAATCCTAAGCTATTTATATAATTATATATGGGGCAACTTATATTTACAAACATTTTTGTTTACAAACTCTTACAAACTATACTAAGTACGACCGGTCATATACTTTAATCATGCAGTGTACGACCGGTCGTACTTAGTGTAATTTGCAAAAAAAAATTGTAAACGGATCATATCTCATTAAACGGATCCTATCCCATTATTTATAACATTAAAAATTATATTTATCACCAATAATTATTTAGTCCTTTGGGTAATTATTAGATAATATACAGTTATTACATACAATAACACATTTCTTATATTTATCACACGTATGAAACATTTTACATAATATCAATGAAGATTGAGTTGAAAGCTAGAGACATACATGACAGAGGGTTATGTTTTGAGAATTATTAATAGAAACAAATTTGATAATGAAAAAGTTGTCCTGTCCGTTTATACAGACCAATATCAGGGGGATCAATGAATCCAGCAAGGACATTAGGTCCTGCAATTGCCAGTGCATCCTACAAGGGACTTTGGGTCTATATTGTTGGACCAATTACAGGGGCACTTTTAGGGGCATGGTCTCACACTGTGATTCAGGAGAAAGATAAGCCAGATTCTGTAATTTCACTATCTTCCTTTCCATTCAAACTACGCCAGAAGATGAATAAAACTGAGCTAGGTAGCAACAACAACCACCTCAGCTCGGTGTGAAAATAGTATTTTGGACTACGCCCACACCCTTTGGAATGACATGTCCTAGAGGATATCAAGTTCTGTATATCATGTATCATCTTTCAGGATTAGCCATTATGTTTATCCTTCAATGAAAAATCAGTTACATCAAACGTATATAATATACAACAATGTGTACATCTTAAATGGCATGAAGTGTGTTAAGGAGGCTTTTGCACGACAGCTACTCGTGACACGCCAAAAGGGTGGTTGTGCAGATCTACTTATTTCATACATAAATTTTCGTATGAATTTATCAATGTAATTGTTACTGGAAAGTTTTTCATTTATTGCGTGAAGTTTACTAAATTTCATATAAGTAAACGTTGACAAGATATAAAATCATAAATGTTCAATGTATTTTAAATTTGGTGTACATGATTTATAAAAATAATATAACATAATTTACTGTTAGTTTTATTTATTTATTTTTATTTATTTTTGATACATAAGTTAACTCACTACTCGAAATTTGGTATACAAAGGCGGTTTGATGGAGGCGGTTGATGTTAAAGCCGCTGATTTACAATATTTCAAAACGCTGATTCAAAGATTCAAGTTATTAAATGATATACGTGTACATAACTCAATCCTAAAATAAGTGGATTTCTTCCCTTTTTTATAAATATCATATCAATTAATGTTTCCCTAATAATATTATATAATTTAAAAATGAAATCGTATAATTATAATTTCCAATTTACTTAAATTTGGTGTACATGACTATAAACGTAATATTACATACTTAACTTTTAGATTTTGTTAAATTCAAGTTATACAAAAAAGTTAATAACTGATATAAGAGCACATATATAACTTAAGGGTTTGTTTTTTCTTATGTTACTTTAGATAACTTTATCTAATGTTTATCAAAACGACGTCGATTTGGGACGGAAATTATGGTATTTTTGTAATTTTAATTTATTTCAGGGTTATAATAGTCTTTATCACTCTAATTTTTTAATTTTTCAATCCCAAAACGACGTCGTTTCGATGAACATTAGATAAAGTTACCTAAAGTAACATCGGAAACTTTTTTCCAGTAACGTAATCCTAAAAAGTTAATAACTGTTGTCATGAGAAGTCACTTTTCTATTTTTTTTTTTTTTTTTGAAGATAGGATCCACTCCTTTCTCTTTCAATAGAAAAGTTCCAACTTCCCGTGCAACATGAGAAGTTGCAAGTCCTAATAGAATATGAGAAAGAATATTGTAATAATCAAGTTATGTTACTACCAAGTTACTACTAATCAATCTCACCGTTAGATCAATTATGTTGATCCAATGGTTATATTTATTTTCATCTTTGTATGGTCAAGATTTTTCAAATTTAATATTTATATTTATTTTCACCTTTGTATAGTTAAGATTTCTCATATTTAATACTTTAACTTTAAATATGGAGAATCATAATCATACAAAGATGGAAATAAATATAACCGTTGGATCAACGTAATCGATCTAACGGTGAGATTGATTGGTAATATCATGACAGTAACATAACTTGGTTGTTACAATATCATTCACCATATAATATTATATAACTTAAAAATAAAAGCGTGTAGCAACTTCGTTAAGAGAATTATTCTGATTTTATTTTCTTAAAGATATTAAACAGTGTTTTTTTGTTATTTACATTTAATTATAATATAATTAGTAATAAAATTGTATTCTTACCCTTTTATTTTTTTTGTGTGTGGGAATCTTACCCTTTATTTAAACTGAATTAAAGTCTTATGATTTTTTTTATTAAATATAGCCTTTACTATTTAATTTTTTTTATCAAATGAAGTAATTTGAAGCATTAGATCCAAACAAAATTAAACGCTAATATAAAAATTTAGATGACTAAAATACCAATCCCCATCCTACAGATGCAAAAACACATAGTGAATTATATACTGGTATATCAGGGGTGCAAATAAATAAGTAAATAGGAGAAGGTAGATGAACCAGTAAAGTGGCTAACGTATATTACTATCACACCTCAATTTAATAATTTCCAAGTATATTTATAATTTTCATTTTTCTCCCACTTTGTTTGCAAGTTGCAACCATTAGATTTATTCAAACCATACAAATTGACGAAGTTTTCTTAAATAAACATTTGTTGATAAAAATAAGGAAAAAATGTTTATCCTTTTAAATGACATAATTTATATCGTTTTACTCTCACAAAGAGGTTAAACTCATACCTTTATTTTTTTGTCAACTCTCTCTTCTCCTTTATCTATCTCTTTTTCTCTCTTGAAATGACATAACTTTATATTTTTTTAAAATGATACACATTTTTTCCTAAAAATAAACCTTTTAAGTAACGATCAATTGATTTCATCCTAAGGTGGTGTTTGGCTGAAGTCTTTCTGAAATTTTCCTAGGTAAGTGAGAGAAGGATTCTAGGATAGAAGTGTTTGGTTGAATAGATTCTCACAGAAAGCTGGTTATCCAATATGCATAGGTTTATGAATTTAAATGGAAAAAGACATGTTTCGGTACTGTTTGAAAAGCTTTTTGCTATGTGGGTTTTTGTAAAACCACGGTAAACCACTGTTTGTGCTATTTTTGTATAACCAATATACCCTTTCAAAATGCAACAGAGATGATACGATGCCAATCTTCTGTAGGTTATCAGCTTAGAGCACCTTCCCGCAAGTAGCGACCGGAAGAAAGCAAGGTGGTGCATGGTGGTTGTCGATCTGACCTTCCCGCAAGTAGCTTCAGAAGGTTTGCTTTCCATTACCTTCGATCTCACCCAGCTTGTTTTTGACAAATATAGAACATGATTTGTTGATGATTCGTAATCGTTTTTAAAAATGAAAAATAGCTTATCTTCCACTCAGCTAGATTACTGTCTAGAGTTCTGTTCATCCTCTTTCTGTTGAAAGTTATAAAAATAAAAATATAAAAGGAAGAACGGAAAGAAGGTTATGACAAACCACACCTTATAGGAGTAAAACATGTTTGTTTTTGTAATAGTTCTTCACGGGTAAACATTAATTTCTGGCCTAAACCATTTTACAGATTTTTAATTGAAAAGCTTTCCCTGTATCTTTAACCCAAGAGGCAATAGATCGAAAGGGGTTAGTCTAAAGTGGACAACTATCTTCCCCACAAGGCATATTCTCATCTAGATTACTTGGGTGCCTTTTATTTGAAATATTAAATATATGATTTTTTGAAATCTCTTTCCATTTCAATTGAGAATTTTGTTCTACACATGGAGATCTTTCTGTTATTATATGATATGTGTGTTTTTGTATAAAATTGAAGGAGAATTCGTATTCTCAAATTTGTGGGTTTATAAAAACCAATTAAAAATGAGACTCATTGACCAATGATGGAGCTTTTTGTGAGATTTCCCCCCATCTAATTTACGTTTGTATCTGCTCTGCCATTTTGCAAAAGAGTAACTCAGCACAACCACGTCACTTGAAGCTCGCTCAGTCATATTTTTGGAGTTGTCCTCTCTCTTTCGGTACACGGTGGTGTTAGCTGTATCCTACTTCCCCATCACTTGAAGTTCATTCTCAGATCAAGTAAGTGGTGTTAGCTGCATGTATATCTTATTTTTTGAACTTTTACGTAGAAGTTAAAATTTTCATTTTGTCATCTCCTATAATTGATCCATTGTTATAAAATATATTCATAAGCTTATTTTATGGACCCTCGTGACATTCAACCTTTTTTAAAATGATTTATTAAGTTTGGGTTTATGGGAAGTAGGTCTTGAATGTTATGTTAATAATATAAAAAAATTATCATGTTGTGATGATGTTGATGTTGATGTTGTTGTTGAGAGAATGGCATAGGAGGAGGGTTTAGGTATACTGGGATTCCTCGGATGGGTCTGAGAAAACCAAGTTCTTGGCTTAGGCTTTGGATTTGTGGTTGTTGTTGGTGGTGGTGGTGGAAAATTGGCTGGTTGTGGAAGTAATGATTTTGCTGAAATGTTTGGAAGGGATTGGCCTTACCGTTTTGGAAGTGATGAATGAGGTTGGAGTTTTTTGACACCTGAAGCCTTTGGATTAGAGAGGGAGAGGTCATGATCAAATCAAGTATCCTTTTTGGACTTTGATGATGATGATGATAAGGAGTTTCTAGAGTCCAAAGCTCTCTTCCAAAACCCCAAGTCCATGTCTTCTTATGTTGTAGTACTTCTCCTCCAACTTGATGTGGGTTTGCTGTTTGGAGGGCTGATTTGCAAGGATAAGTCTGGTTGTGTTGGGAATAGTTCCATCCTTGCCTATCACAAGCATTCCCACAAACCAAATAAGTATGTGTATGTGATCCTGTTTGTCCTTCAGTTATGTAATTTTTCCTTCTCCTAAGTATTCTTTTCTGTTGTGCAATATATATATATATATATATATAGTACAAAAAATTTCAAGCCTGGGTTTACAAAACAAAATATATATATTGAGATGGAGGGTTGGCTCAGTGATTGCAAGAGATAAGGGTAATTAATTAGAGATTCTGAAAGGGTGTGATGGGGGGTTTGAAGCATTCAATCAATTTTGATGGAGTTGTTGCAGAGGAGATATTTGAGGTTGAGAGGAGACGACAAAGACAAAGAGAAAGAAAGATAGAGAGAGATAAATAATAAATGACAAGGTATGTGAAGTGAATGGCTGTTTGTTTTGTGTCAAGTATATGTGAGAAAATGACACTTGAGGTACTATACTGTATGGGAAAAGGTTGGAAATTGCTACTTGTTATTTAACTTCACTAGGAAAGTAGCATTCTGCTTACAGCCTATACAGGAAAGCTTCAGTTGTTAATTAAAAAAAACATGATAACTTTGTCTTTTTCTATATATCTCGTTTTGCAGTTTCTTGTTACCATAATATAAAGTTTAATCATCTCATTACAAGTTTACTTCTTTTCCTACTTTTGCAATGAAGAAGAGTATTGCAAAATAAACAACCCATTACCATGAACAGAAAACTAGGGGATTAACAAAAGGCTGCTCATAATCTACAATTGAACTTTTAGTGTTCAGATGAATATTTGGATATCTAATTGACAATCATTTTCCTCTTTCCTTTTAAGATGCAGTCACGTCAAGACAAAATAAAACCCAATATCTAAATATAATAACAAAACATCAATATTAAGCATCTTGTCTTATATATGTGGACACAATTTTCCTCATCTAGTAACTAGTTTGCAAGCATGGTGATTAACTAATTATTACAAAAGAACAGAAGTATATAGTAGTTGTTTTCGCTGAGAGGAAAAGGGATGTGGTGTGGATTTTATCCTCAACGTGATCATGCATTTGCAATATTGAAAGGAAAGTAATATATGATAAATTCGTTTTTAAAAGCCATGATGTTTAATTTTTTTGGTAATTACTTAACTGGATCTTTTTGTCCTTCACGTGTTAGATAATGGCCATCGACAATGGAATGGAGTTTAGTGTCATACTCATACTCATTACTCATTTGGAGTCTTTGCATCAACTGACTAACATGTTTGTCAGTATATGTGCTGTTTTGTTACGCATTGGTGAAAACCGGAGAAATAGACGCAGGAGAGTGTCATTGGACCATCGTGGGAGGGCTAGAGTAAGGGAAGTAAACTTCCTTAGGATTGTTCACATAAGTGACACGGCGTGTATAGAGAATACAAGGATGGACAGGAGGTGTTTTCATAACTTGTGTGGGTTGCTTAAAACCGTTGGTAAACTTCAACCGACGAGGCATATGGGTGTAGAGGAGATGGTTGCAATATTTCTTCACATATTGGCCCACGATGTCAAGAATAGGATAATTAAAAGACAATTCATGAGATCCGGAGAAACCATTAGTAGACAGTTCTCTAATGTTTTGCTTGCAGTGTTACGTTGTCATAATGTTCTACTAAAACAACCTGAGCCAATCCTGGAAAACTCGACCGATGATAAGTGGAAGTGGTTCAAGGTAAGTTACTAGTCCACGTGATCCCTAATTCATGCTATACATTTGGAGTCACCAATCGTGTGTCTGTGTTACTAATATTCTAAATTGAATTATAGAATTGTTTGGAAGCACTTGATGGGACACACATAAAGATTAACCCCTTACTGGCGGACAAGGCCAGATACCGGACTAGAAAGGGTGACATAGCAACTAATGTTTTAGGGGTTTGTTCTCAAGATGGTCAGTTTATGGTCAGTTTATTTTAGGATACTATTACCTAGGTGATGCTGGTTACATGAATGGGGAAGGTTTCCTTACGCCATATAGAGGACAACGATATCATCTTAGTGAATGGAGGCACGGTGCCCAACCAAGCACAGCCCAAGAATTTTTTAATATGAAACATTCCTCTGCAAGGAATGTCATTGAACGTTGCTTCGGGATGCTTAGGGTGTTGGGCTATTGTCCGATCGAAGTCCTTTTATCCCGTTAAAACTCAATGCAGGATTATTAGCGCATGTTGCTTGCTTCATAACCACATACGGAAGAAATTGCAGCCGACCCACTGGACGGTGAAGAAGTTTATATCAGACGTCGAGATAACATTGGAGGACTTGATTTCATCACTCATGTTGAGTCATCTAATGCTTGACTGCCTAGGAACGGGACCGCACATGACATGT